TGCAGACATAATTTTTTTGGTGTAGACTGTAGCTCTGCACAAGAAGTTTGGCCAGAGGAGAAATGGTCGTGCCCAACTGAGCCTGGTTTTTCTTTTCCTTCACTTTCTTCAATTGGTAAAGTTTGTTCCTTGCCACAGGCTTTGGCCTTGTGGAGCTGCACATCAATGGATTTAATCTTCAGTGTTTGGACTTTCAGTAGTGAAAATTAAACCACACTAAACTGAACTTCAGCTCTGAAAACTCGACCGACACTTTCAATTTACTAGAACTTCTGTGTTAAACTGCTTTAACACAATCTACATTGTAAAAGCGCTATAGAAATAAACATGAACTGAATTGAATTGAATTCCTCTGTGCCAAGACCTGGTAAAGCAGGGAATAGGCTGAAGGAAAATTAGTGCATGATGTCAGATATTTTAAAAATTGTTCAACAAAATGAGCTATAAATTTATTTACTTTATTAATTATTTAAGCCTCATGGGGAAAAAAACCCAACATATTATTTGGGCATTGATATCCCAATCTAACGGCAATAGACACATCGCAGTATTAGACTATTAAAGATCAAAAGAAAAAGATATTACTTTTATATCATTGTATAATACTGTTTTTATATTGATGACCAGGTTATTTTACTTTTGATTGTTCTATTTCTATATTTAAGTACTGTTAGACCTCCCAGAAAAGCATAAAACACATTTTATTTTACTTTTATTTTTGCTCTGTCCTAATTTTATATGCTTGAAATTTATTATATTTTAGTTATAAAAAACGGGATCTAAAATAGTTATAAAAAACGCGATCTAAAATAATGAAATCTTTCCAAAGCTATTCAAATCATCTGGAAACATTATACATGACGCAATTTATATCGCAGCAAAACAAAATATCGTAACATCTGATTTTTTCAATATCGTGCAGCATTAATTGTCCTTTGATATTAAAATCTCTAGTGCAAACTCTGTTTTAACAGAGAAAGTTTATATCAAGTGTTGTAAAACTACTTAACCTGATCTTATCTAAGTTTACCCAGAGTTTGTATAACTTGTTTCATGCAACTGGCCTGTAAACTCTAAAGGCTGTATTGTTGTCTTTTTTTGTTTTTGATAAAGGCCTCTGAACTTTTAAGAGCTTTCTTGTTTTTTCTGATAAATAACACCTACATTTTCAGTGACTGCAGAAGTCTGTTATTATCCACGTCTGTGTGTCGGAAGCAGAGCGGAGCTGTAAATAGAAACGGTGTAACTTCTCGTAGGACATGTGGACTGTGTGTGAGAGTTGGTAAGGGGGATCTGCCACCGCTTTAACACAGGCCTGATGTTTTAAAATAAAGCAGGCTGTTTGCTTTGATGTGGAGGGGCCTCTAAAGCAGACGGTCTGATTCAATAAAGATCACTGCTGCTTATCCTGCTCCATGCTGTAAGCTTAGCCTTCACTCCGAAGAGCTTTTATGAAGGTGAGACAGGGAGAAGACCATGAGAATTTACTTGATACTAAAGGCAAACGCACTTTAAACCCTGTTGAGCTACGTCCTGCTGATCGCGTCAGAACAAGGTTGTGCTCCGTTTTACTCGCAGTGGGCTTCTGTGATGAAGTTTGACCTGTTAAGGTCATTATGCACAATTATTTAACTTACTGTGAACATGCGTCAATATTTAACAGCTGCCACGCACCAATGCAGGTAGTCGCTGATGTCAAACCAACATAATGTTGTATTACCAAGGCACTTTTTCATGTGGATGATGTTAATAGAGGTTTTAATGTGCGTCTGTTTTTATGCATATTGGTTTTATATGTTTTATCAACGGGTAGATGGTACATTGCAAAAAATGCAGGATTCCACATAATTCATCATGTTGTTGTTGCAACACAAATTGATTGCTTTTAAATGTTTAGGTTAAATTGATTAACTTAATTGTTTTTACAAATTAAAGTGGATTGAACTTAAAATAATTAAATTGTCTCCAAAAAACTTAAGAATTGTGTTGATTCAGCTCTTTTTTTAATAAGTAGTCTAAACAAGGAGCTAAAATATTTTTGAGTGTATAGGTAAAAGGCCTTTATCAGATCCTTTTTGTAATGTAAACACTCATCAGGATAAATGTCATAAACAGAAACAAAAAATCACCTGCACTTTCATTTTCAATCATTAAGGGAGATTAGATGTAAAATCTTTCAGCTGAAGTTGACAGGTTTTGGATTAAAGGTAAAACAAATGTCAATGTTTACAACCATTTCAGATACTTTTTCTTTTTCTCTTAGAGTATTAATGATTTCCATTGTCTCCTTTCCCATTAATATGTAAAATTGGCAAACCTATTTCATAATATTAGATTTAAAGATCAGAAAAATATACAAACTAGGGATGCTTATAATAAACCATTCACTGTTAACCGAAAGGGTGCGTTTTTAACTGATTAATCGTATCAGTTAAACGATAAAATGTGTGTGTGTGTGTGTGTGTGTGTGTGTGTGTGTGTGTGTGTGTGTGTGTGTGTGTGTGTGTGTGTGTGTGTGTATTTATATATATAATTTTTTTTTTAGTTTGCTGCATAAATGTGCAACACATATTTGTTAACTCGAGGGATGGTAACACGTGCAACTATATGTGCCTACAGACACATTTTGCCAAGTAAGCAAAATAAAAGAAGAATATTGCCAGTCACAGTTTGACACAGACGATTTGATACCAAACCAGTGCTGATGCCGATTGCCTCTGTCCTGAATCCATGTCATAAACAACTCTGTTTATTTGCACAACTGGATAAAGAAGCCGAAAAACAACCTTCTGAAATGTGTGCTGCTTTGGAAACAAGCCGGCTACAAGTCTGAGCGTCGGGATTTTCTCTCCATCAGAGCGCGTTCCGGCACCGCTCATAAACACAACAAATAGGCTACAGTTTTGATGATTTAGTGTATAAACAACAAACCAACACTTTTTCATTTGGAAAATTACAGTTATTAATAGTTCTAATAAAATATAATTTTTCAAAATAGCCTACATAATCTACGAATCAAACTAATTCAAAGATTTAGTTTTTTGTATGATAACTTCGCACCAAACTGAGGCGTTCATTTTATAGCTTATAAAACATGTATGCAGTTAATGCAATATCATATGTAAACAACAAAATTGTTATATGCTAACATATTAACATAAGAGCCTTGTCATTTTCTTTCATTAGACGCTGAGCACATAAATCACGAGTGAGAGAGGAAATAAAAGCACACAAGCTGTAAGGTAAAACCAGATGCTCAAGGAATAATCTTTAAAATAATGACATCTTTTAAAAATGTTGACAGTGGTTTGTGAAATAAGAATAACAGCAGAGCATTAATTAAATGCAGATTTTCTGTGTAGTGATTGATTAAAGGTAGCATGATTATTTATTTTATTTTTTTTAGCCTTATTTGACACAAGAGAAATCACATGATGGATGAAAAGCAGCCTATCCTGGTTTTTAAAAAGGATTCAGTCAGTGTTTTAGTTTTGTAATCTAAATTTGTCATTTTAAGGTAAAAATATCTAGGGCATGCATATTTGTTTTATTCTTTTTAATTAGTTTTTTTTTTCTGTGCTGTTGGAAACACTGCAGGTGTGTAAAGAAGGTCTGTTAATATGTTTGCATGTTAAATTAATTCAGGATTTTTAAATAGTATTCAATGTGTCAGACACAATATACACAACAATTGTTAATATAAAAAAATAATAATAATAATTTTATATTAATCTGACCAGTTAACGGTTAATATTCGGTTAACAAGCGGCGTTTGTTGGTTGTAAAATTAACTAAAATGAGCATCCCTAATACAAACGCCTGCTCATTGACCATTCATTTTAGAGCAGAGATGCCCAAAACTAGGCCCGCCGGCCACAATTGGCCCATGGTAACCTCTGATTTGGCCTGTCATTCCATCTGAGAATACAGGGAGAATGATGGGAGGGTTAAGGCCAATGTCTTCAACAGAGCTCGTCATTTCTAATTTTACGTAACCTTTTGTTTGTTTATTTAATTGTTGAGATACAAAAAAGCAAATGAAAATAAATGTTTCAATTAAATGTGCATTAATCGGATTAAAAAAATTGTAAGGATCCTCATCGAGCAAATCAAGTGTATTTATTGTATTCAGCATTATACATGGGATTGTTTGTTTTTATCGTAAGAAGTTCATCATAAAATGTAAAAATATATATATATATAATTATTAATACGATTAAAGTATTTTTTAGTGTAAATTTATTTTTAAATATTGAGAAATTACCATATAACAGTTTGGTTAATTTTACTTCTGGCCACCTCCCTCAATAAAGTTTGGTTTTTGGCCCTTCATAAGAAAAGGTTTGGACACCCCTGCTTTAGAAAGTGGATGAAAAATGAATGGGAATAAAAAGGTGTAAACAATATTGGAAATCCTGTTTGTCCAATCAAGTAAAATGCATCTTACCAAGTCTAGACATGGCCGACATATTGCAGAATTTGCTTGATATTTTCAAAAACCTCAGTAAGAATGTGCTGACAACTACAAATCCATTGGTAATGTTTTCCATCAGATGACTGCTAGGAGAGCTGATTAATGCTAATATTGATCCAGCACAAAACCGTGAAAACCTAATTTACACAAACATCTCAAGAAATGCTCTGAGGTTTTAACAGTGGCCATAAGAATGCGGCCCGCTATTCATGTGACTGCGCGATCTTAGTCAGAGAAATTACTGAGGAATTTGAGAATATGAGCAAGCTTGCAAAAAAAAAAAGAAGAAAGAATCTGAGCCGCATTTAAAGGGGGAAGAGTATTTTGCGTCAGACATCAAAAGCAGAGCTTGGGCCTGTGTCTGGATGGAGCTAATAGGAGTCTTGTGGAATGGCTTAAAGTGTTTAATATCTGAAGACGGATCTTATTTGACTGTAATAGAAGGTGAAAGACCCTTTGACCCCAGCAGTTCATATGGAATCATCTCCTGCACATTTATGTTGAGAATCGTTTGATGGTGACCTTTAATGTGACATGGTCTCTTTATTTAGCACTCAAAATCTGTCCATACATCTAGATGCACAAATCCCTACCACTGACACATAACTATGACTTAATAAATACTTTGCAAAGATTACACAGGGCTGTTTTGTTCTTAGTAAAAACGGAACCATGATACAACAGGACATTATATGGGAATTCTTTTCATTCAGCTAGACAAATATACGCATGTTTACACAGGAACCTGAATGTTGTATCCAATGTCCTGTTGGAGAGTCCTGAGGAGAAGGGTTTCCAACTGCATGTTAAGTGTAATACAAGCATGCAAAGATATGGGAAACTCTAGCTGTTGGTTGCTCATTGATGCATTGGTGATTTCCTGATATGTCTTCCCTTTCATTCTTTCCCTTTACTCCTTAAAAAATTCAAACAATTTAGAGATTCCCCAAATAATATACATAATACAAAGAGAACCATGATGGATTTTCCACTTTTGAACCCAAGGTTTTGAGGGAGACCATATGAAGATCTCTGCGCATTGTTGACAGTGCTGTCTGTTTCTTATAGCAAGTCCTCTTCAAACGCACAGCCAGCTTTCAACACAAGTTCTGCTTCTGTTTTTCGAAAGTACATAGTTTTCAAAACTCCCGGGCCTCTTCAAACTGTTTATAGTAGTCCTCATCCTGAGGGTTTTCTGCACATTTCTGTCCATTATTGGGGGGTCGAGCGTGGTTGTAGCGGCTCCAGTCCCCCTTGCAGATGATCCAGGGTAGGATGTCCACTTTGTAGTGTAGGTCAGCGGAGAACTCGGTGCTGATAAGATTTGGCGTACCGGCTCCTTTGCCTCGGGTGATGAGTTTCATGCTGTCGTCGTAGCAGCAGTGCTGGGCCGCCAACGTTGTGGATTCCAGCGTGAGCATGGAGCGGATGCAATAGCGGGCTGTGGGTTTATAGATCTCCAGCTTCTCTTTTGGCCCGCTGGCGTCCTTCCAGCGGAAGTTGCGTTTGGTGTTGGCATCGTGGACGTCTGCGGTGCTGTAGGCCACCTCGGTTGGGTAAAAGCAGGGGCAGCTGGGTAGATCAGTGGCTACTTTGCTCATGTATTTCTTGAGAAACTCACTCTTGCAGTTCATCCAACGCTCACAGCTGTCGGTATCTAAGGAGGAATGAATGACAGTTGTCAAGATCACACAGTTTAAGTAAAATTTAAACCCGACTTCAGTTATGTTTACTCAACTAGAGCTGATCTCTTTTTCCTATCATCCGAAAAAAAAGTGATTTAACATTCTTTCTATAAGTATCTGCATAGACATAAACTAGAATCAAGACAATACTAGAAACGTGTGTAAGGATTCTGTGCCAAACTACTTTAAGTCTTCATGAATGAATCTTAGGATGGCTCTACAGCAAGGGTAGAATTAGTATGGACGGAGGGGATGCAACAGTGCAATCTGGGGGGCCGTGGAAAAACATGCAGGCCGTGCACTAGTGTGACTAACCTAATCAGAGCTCATTAACTGTTGTAAGGGTTGTAAGGGTTTGTAGTCCGTTCTTACTGACTGACTGACTTGCAACATTATATATGTAGCAGTACATCCTAATATGAAGTAATATATGTATATGTAAGCATTTTTTTTAGATTTCAAAGATTTAATTAATTAATTAAATAAACAATTAAACTGTTTCTACTCTTTAATCTCTAATTGTGGTCCTAATTATTAGATCCGTGACTAGGAGTTGGTTCTTTTAGAAAAAAGAGGTGCCCAAACTTGGTCATGGAGGGCCGGTGTCCTGCACTCATTCATTTTCTTTTTGGCTTAGTCCCATTATTAATCAGGGGTCACCACCGCAGAATGAACCGCCAAGTTATCCAGCATACTTTTTATGCAGTGGATGCCTTTCCAGCTGCAACCCATCACTGGGAAACACCCATACACTCTCATTTACACACATACACTACGGACAATTTTAGCTTAGCTAATTCGCCTAAAGCGCATACCTTTGGACTGTGAGGGAAACTTGCGCACCCCGAGGAAACCCACACGAACCAAGGGAGAACATGCAAACTCCATACAGAAATGCCAACTGACCTAGCTGAAGCTCGAACCACTGACCTTCTTGCTGTCAGGCGACAGCACTACCCACTGCGCCACCGTGCTGCCCGGGACTGCATTTTTTTTCCCAACCCCAATTAAACACACCTGAAACAGCTTATCTAGCTCTTTCTAGATATACTAGAAACTTCCAGGCAGGTGTGTTAAAGGAAGCTAAAGCTAAACTATGCGGGACACTTAGGAGTTTGCAGGAGTTTGGGCACCCCTGTTTTAGATGAATCAGAATCATCCAGTGCAATGAGTAAAGATTAAGTTTAAGGATGATTTAAACTAGCTGTGCTTTGTGAAGAATCCTTCTAGTCACACCATGCAAGCACAATATTATTTCTGACTACCATATCTTTTTTTCTGTAGTACATTTAGGATAGTACATGAATAGCTGTATACAAGTTCAAGCTCTATTAGATCAAGACTGGATTGTTGTTGTTGTTGTTGTTGTTGTTGTTGTTGTTGTTGTTAAGTTCTTAGCGACCAGTTGCCCAGGTGATGTTAAATTGCAAAATAACTCACCAACTCCAAACAGCTCTGTTGCATTGAACTCTTCAGTGCCAGCGAGCAAACTGACTTCAGTTGCTGCCGTCTTGAATGCATCTTCAATCCCTGTACAAACAAAAAGTGTTTAACTCTTGTTAATGATGGCCATTTTGACCATGTGTCCACCTATTTTTTCCCCACATAAGAAAAGGCACAAACATTTAATTAAAACATTTAATTTAATTAATCTGGCATCCAATGCTTTCTAGTTCTATTTAGTTGTATAAAACAGCTTGTTAAGCTGCTTAGTGCAAACAGGTATTTATTACCATATTATTTTAATGTATTCTCTTCCTAATTAGCACACTGGTTTGTAGTGCAGTTCTTTTTTTTTTAGTTAATTCCCTACTGCTGCTAATAAAGCTGAAGTCTTGCACATTTACAGCAACGGCTTACTTCTATGTTGAAAAATAGTGGTGGATGTGACACTTGTAATCAGTTTTAATTACTGCTATTGTATAACCTATATCTGCTTGTTCAGTCATGGTGATGTCACGGCTCACAGTTTCTTGGTCTTAACAAACAAAAAAATGTACTAATAAATATACTAATATATACACAAAGTCCAGAGACTTTAGTGAAATCCGTGATTTTGTAAAAGATTTGCTTTAAAGGCACAGTGTGTCATTTTCACCACCAGAGGGCACGTATTCACAACAAACAAAGGCGTAGTTTGATGATGCTATGACTGAGTGTGGAATCATGAGAGTTGTCATCTTCATTGCATCCTGTGCCACAGTCCACTGCTTCTGGTTCTTTTGCTGGTGATCATGTGGGGAACATGCAGATCTGTTCAGTCATGCTAAAAACATTGTAATGCTGCTTTGTAAGGCTGTGCGATTTGGAGAAAATATCTAATTGTGAGCAAACAATAGTGAGTTATGGCATTCGTTTTCTCCTGGTGCCTTTGTGGTGTTTTTTTATGTGGTGTAACCGCTGCAAACAACTGAAACAACTGAAATTTGTACTTTGCTGTTGTTAGCTACGATATTGAGTGTCACTGGCAATACTTTTAGTTGACTTTTTAGCAAGATACTCCTCATATGCCCGTCTGGTGTTTTTTTTTCAATAGTATCTGGATGCAGCCTTTATGATGCAAGCTGAGATTGTATCATTGCAGAGATGCAATGTCAGACACTGCGCTCAATGGAGCTAGTAAAGTCAGTGTGACGGGTAGGGTTAGGTGAGCCCATTCAAAAGCTTTGCATGCAGCTCAGATTGCATCTGCAGCCAGACCCCTCTCGCTTTTTTAGGTGCTGGTTGTTGTATTTCTTCATGCTGTGGCAACAATTCTACAACAACTCTTACAGATTAGTTGTTTTTGTTTGATGTCTGTGACTTTGAAAGCAAAATATTCCCATATTACCGATGTCCTGTTTTTCTTTAATATTAATTTGTCTGTTAATGCTTCTAAAGTGGCAGACACCATCATCTCACTTGTCCACACTTTCCTTTTTGTTTGTTTTATTGTAGGCATTCCAAATGGTTCGGTTGTGCAATTCTGATTGGGCAGAACGAAAGTGTGTTCGCTTAATTGGCTTGTAAGACTGTCACACAGACGGCAGTCAGGCATTTGCTCTGGGTGGGGGAAATTAGATAATCTATATATATTACACATCCCTGCCTCTTGCGATTTAGCTAATTGCAACGTTTCAAATCGCTATTGCGATTCAATTTCATTTAATAACACAGCCCTACTGTTTTGTTCAGTCTAATAAAACAAAACAGAATAAAGTGTCTTTGGTGTTTCCCCTTGTTATTAAAACCAAACAGGAAATCGAGAGTGTATGATGCCATTAGTATGACCACACAACTTGGACCATGACACTAGTTAAAATAGCTTATTACTCTTGATTTGAACATGAACATTTTCGACATATTTTGAATAAAGTACATTAGTACATTTTGTAATAATGTGTTTTATGACTAAACAATGGTCATAAGCCACAGCTATAGAGTTTTTTCAGGTCAAGCGAGTAGAAGCTTTGATTCAGAAACATTATTCAAAAGACCCTGTGAAATTAAAATAAAACATTTTAGATGTTAGTTTAGAGGATATCTATTAGCTAGAGTGCTCCCAAAAAGTGACCATATTTGCATTTAGAAAATATAACACTGATATAAACATCCAAAGCTTGCAGTTTGTCAGTTTGTCACTAAATCAATCAACAATCTTTTTTACATCATCTCAAGCCTTATTCATTCTACAAGCGACTCACAGCGGCAAAGCGACAAGTGACCGTTCATTTCAGCGTAGAGCGAGCGACTTCTGGCAACCTCCATCTACATGAGCGACAGCCACTATTGGTAACCAGGTGGGCGTGTTGAGTTATGCAAATGAAAAGCGACTTTAGGCGACAGCCAATAGAAGCACCAGTAGAGTGTTCCTCTCTCCGCTAGCTCAGAGGCAAGTTGCATTCTTGCTGTATATACCTAAACAAACTTGCTTTTGCAGCAGGTAGCCACCATAGACTGTAAAATATATGGTAGTATACGTAGTGTCCGTGACGTCACCCATAGGTTTCTGAAGAGCGCAAAAGAAGTCACAAGTAGGCACGGCCAACCGTCACCATTTTGTTCGCGCGTCATCGCACTCACGGCGGGATTCCAAACAAGGGCAAAGAGGCAGAGAGTGAGCGGAGCTACAGACACCTGCTGGCATTTTGCTTTGACCTGGTTCAGACACACTTTACTTTGGGAGAACGCTTAATACTTTATCACCTGCGACTCATTTGTGTTCTGACCACATTTGGTTGGCTGTACACTATATCAATAAAGTGTTTAGACTTTTTAAAATACTGTAGTAATACATTGAGCCACTAAACTGTGCTTATGATGTTTTCCTACAGGATGAAAACGCAAATTACTTTCTAACACTTTACAGATATAGTCTGTGTTAGTAAATGCAGGAATATAGATGAAATTTAGGATAACACCGTTTGATAACACTTCAAATAACTGTTCTACAGCCCATCAGTTCTACAGCTAATCAATCTGCCAGATTGCATTGCAGCTCTAAATATAAATATAAACAATAATTGATCTTAAATAAAACAAATACATGTATAGAGATGGTATATAAGTATATAACTTTACTCACATGGGAAATGGAGGCAGCGTGAATGGTTTGTGAGCACAATTAAGTGCCCAAAGCATTCCATATCATCTGATAATTGTAGGAAACAAGTCCAAAAGGCAGTTGACTGTGTTAAGCCACATAAAACAACACAGAAATACGATGAATATGCCAAAATCAGTGACTAATCTGCCGGATTCAGCTGAGGTGACATGACGGCTGTCACTCAAGTGGCCACGCCCTTAATTATGCAAACTTAATATAACTTAATATAAAAGAAACGGATGAGTTATAAAAAAATTCACCCCCTCACAGTTGTCATGAAGGGTAATATTAGCTGTATGAACCAAAATCTTTTTTTGTACCAGGCTGTAAACATCTTTTTTTCTGCTGTATAGTTGGCAATTCTAACAGTGGACTCAAATTAAATTTGCTCTATTATGGAGCCAGGACTAGCAAAATTTCGATAAATTGCAGTTTTAGTTCAGTATTGGCCTCCCGAGGGAGAGTGGGAGGTTGCCACTTGGTCGCCACCCAAAGCGACAGTCAGCTACAAAGTTGCTGTTAATATGAATGAGGCATCATACTTCAGTTTCTCATCAAATCTTGACCAATAAAATGCTCTCTAGTATCTGACATGCCCCATCCCCTTCAAGACACTTCACATTTGCTTTTCATTTCATGTGCTTGAGCTCAACCACTCTCATTGGCAGAGCTGTAATAAAAACAAAACGCTATTGGCTGCTTTTTTTTAAAGTAGAGGAGCTACTCTATGTTCCAACCTCAGATTACATCAAACATCGAATAAAAAAATGCACATTTCAAAGCACTTCTTGGGACCTTTAATAAATGGATGGATTGCTCCAAATGAACACAGTCTTACCTGGACAGCTGGGCATGTCACATGTCCGTGACTCTGTGGCAGTGCAGGCATAACCGCACGATCTGGTCCGCTTTTGGTTACCATTTCCACAGGATACACTGCATGGAGACCAAGCACTCCAGTCGCCTTCCCCGTCTATGTAGTCTACGAGAGGCAGGAAATCAGTCAGATCTCGCACATTCACTGGCACTTGAGTGTTATGACATGATTCCTTCGCAGGCCGTGTTGTTGTACTCCTGTCCCACTGTGGAGATCTGATTCAGACCGTATGTTTCAAATACCTGAGGCACTTAAACCAGGCCTGCTGCTCTATACCATTAGCATACCTCTCTAATTGACTGATACACTTGGGAGAGTGTGAGCGAATGAGCCAAGTCTGCATACTTATGCCAGCTTCCAACTGCTTTTTAAACAACATGCATGTACTACTGGTAAATTTCAGTGACGTGATCGAGGGGCAGCTAGAACAGACGTTTTGAGGTGGAGTATTGTAGAATTTCTAAAATGCCCTTTTCTGAAGTCCCCATAATTTTATGGCCTTTAATGCAGTTTTTATATCCTGGGCGTTTGTTATTAGTCTACCAGATGCAGAGATATCTGCTCATGTTGTATTAGCGTGAACCCAACATAAGCGAATACATTTTCTGTTTAGGCCATAACACAGCTGCTATTATTATTATTATTATTATTATTATTATTATTATTATTATTATTGTTGATTTATATAATCAATAATAATAAGATAATTCATATATAAAATACAATTATATAAAACACTTAATTTATTATTATGATTAATTTATATAAACAATAGAACTATGATAATATAAATAATTCATAAATTTATATAAACAATAAAATTTAAAATAATTCATATATAAAATACATATATATATATAAAATGCTTAATTGTATTATTGTTGTTATTGCTATTATTATTATTATTATTAGTAGTAGTAGTAGTAGTAGTAGTAGTGGTGGTGGTAGTAGTAGAAGTAGTAGTAGTATTAATTTATATAACCAATATAAATATGATATTAAAATTATTTGTATATAAAATACAAAAATATAAAATGCTTAATTTATTATTATTGTTATTATTATTATTGTTATTTATATAATCAATAAGAATATAAGTTAATTCATATATAAAATACAAATATAGATAATGCTTAATTTATTATTATTATTATTATTATATTAATAATTTATATAACCAATTGAAATATGATAATAAAACAATTCATATATAACAAAAAATAAAATGATTATTATTATTATTGATGATGATGTATAATCAAATCATTGTAAAAGTGCTATAGAAATAAACTTGAAAGTTATTAATAATAATATTAATAATAATAATAATAATGTAACCACATTTATTTTTGTATACAATATAAATTTAGAGCATAAACTTTTATCAATATATAAATTTTTATCATTATTATTATTAATAATAATAGTTGTTAGTGTTGTAATTGTTCTTTTTTTTAATATGTATTTATATATATAGAAGAAAATTTCAGATGGCTTTTAGAGGTTTTTGCATCTAAACTCTACCCCCCCCCCCCCCCCCCCCACACACACACACACACACACACACAAATACACACACAAACGCACATTTTTTTCTGTTTTCTTTTTATCTTTAGTTAGAAAAATCAGCTAAGCCAAGGGTGGCTACCTTGAAAAAGTACTAAATTATAATAAAGTTTGGATTTGTTTAACATTTCTTTTGGTCATTACATAATTCCAAACTCTCTCTCTCACACACACACACGCACAAACACACTTAAACCAAGCAAGCAACCACATTTATATCCACTCCCCCCTGATGAGAGAAAAACAAAGACCTTTGGTCTCAAAAAGACAACATTACTCTCAGCGCCGTCAAACCACATGGTCACAGTCGAGTGCGGGCCAAATCACAGGCAACAACATGTCTAAAACCCACACGAGCCACAGTTCCTACACTCACCGCTAATGCAAACGAATAAGCCAATCAAGAGCAAATACAGCAAACCCTCAGGAATGAGTCACGGCCACAACAGACCGTCTGTTAGTCATAAAGACTGTTCATATGCTGCCTTTTTAGCTTCAGATTGGTATTATCTTTACTCGTCTATCAAAGAGACTTTCTGCTGTGCAAAGGGGTTTGGGCAAGTGGTGACAGGGTAAGAATGTGTTTGTCAGTCTCTGACAGTTGACTTACCAGTAACACACGTTGACTTAGACTACCTGTCGAAAGTCTGGGCTCTGTACTATTTTTAAATGTTTTTAAAAGAAGTGTATTTTCTTCACTAACCTACCAAAAAAGTCCAAAAGAGAGCTATTAGTCTGGAGGAGCAGATGCTCTGGATTCTCTCTTTCCTCCTTTGATGTTGAGGAGTGTTTTCTGTCATGAAGACAGACTCCGCCACACAGGAATCTGTCTCTTACAGGAAACAATCTACAATCACAGACTCTGTATGAGATGCTGTCCGTGTTATAGTGACAGCATAAATCATCTGCAGTGGAAATTACAGATGCTGTCACCTTGAGGCAGAGCCCTTTATTAAGACAATAGGTCATGATGCAGCCAAGCTTAAAGTGTACTTTAATTTTTTTTATTCATATCTTAGTCATTCGAGGAGAAGGCTATATACTATGTAAAAAGATTCCATAATGGTATTGCAGGACCAATATATACTCAATCTAGATGTTTTTTTTTTCAGTTTTTTAGTGAGATGTTTGTCCTAAAAACTCTTTTGACGTCAAAATATCATTTTATCTGGCCTGTGTTATGTGACTGAGAAGCAAGCACATGCTTCCACTAACGTCACATTGACGCTGCTTTCCAAGGCAGAAGAGACTGTTAGAGGTGAAATCAATTTTTAATATCTAGATATTTATTTATTAAATATAGATTTAAAGAAGGTTTACGTATTTAAAAAGCACATACCCACTTAAGAAATAGGCTGCATCAATATCCATATGTTTATCCATGGTTTGCGCTACATTTATTCTTCCATGGCGGGGCGCCACACCAAAATCAATCCCTCCACGGCTGCATTACAGCTTCTACATTACAGCTTCTCATCGTTGTTTTAAAATAGCGGGTTATAATTGCACCAAAATGCATTAAAATGTAGTGCTGTGCGTTATTTGTTTAACCCTTTAAGGTGACATGCTGACTGACTGACTGACTGACTGACTGACGGGTGCACGATGCATGAAGCCAGCAAACATGTCGTAGCTTTCAGTTAAGATGAACACATTTCCATGATTATGCTTCGTAGATAAAGGTCTGTGGTTCTGTATACAATGACTTAATCTTGCTGGAGTTTATGGCCTTTTCACTTTATTTTAGAACGCATTAATGCCGCTCTGTTGGTCTATCGGGCACATTAATAAATATTCCTAGCAAATCTAATAAATGTTGGAGACATACTTGTAACATAAATGCACTAAATCGCACTTCAGCAGCGTTTATTTTAGAGTGCACAAGAAAGTCTGCGCTTGAGCAGCGTATATTTGAGTGTGTGCGAGAAGTTTTGTGCACCAAAAGAGGAAAAGGGCGCTTGAGCACAAAGATTCTCATGCTCGTATTGCATAAATGCGATCGCGACTTGTAATACTGCGGACATTTGTCATTCGAATAACGCCACAAGTAGTTGGTAGATCTGTGTAAAAGGCCCAACCGAGTCTGCCGCCACAGCTAGAAAAAATCCTAGCGGAAACACCGTTATCTGTACTAGTATAGTTTAAATTTTAACAAAAAGTATTTGTATCTGATTGAATTTGAAGGAAATGTTAAAGCTGAGGCAGTCTAGCTGCATTGAGAAAAAACAGTGAAAAACAGGCCAATAAGTGGTGTAAAAACATAAAACATTTGACAGTCATGACAACAAAAATAAACGCTTATTTTAATAAGTTAATCATGCTTCAGCTTTTTTTTCAATTATGCAAAATTTAACTTAATATTTTTATTCCTTTTGAAATATACGTTGAAATAGTAGACTAAAATGAATAAGTTGTAGTAAGTTGAAATGACTACAATTCGTATTTTTTTATTCAACTAAAAACATTTTTTTAGTGTGTACATAATGTGTCACATGCATTGTACCAATAATATCCTGATGCATATATTCATGAAAAGAGAATAATACCGTATTCAGTCTGGGTTCTGCTTCCCGCTCCAGCTTCACTCTTCACTCTTCTCTCCCAGTCTCCGAGTGGCTTGAGGAAGTTGCTGTCCTCTGTGTTGCTCTCGTAGGGGTAATCCTGTTCCTCAGGCCCCTTCGGAGTGGACACAGAAGATGAGGACGAGGATGATGAACGCTGCCACCAGTTCCTCCAGTTAGGAGCTGCCCAGCCAGGCTTGTTTTCTTTACGCATTCCCTTCTCTGGCTCAGAACCTTCCAGACTGTCCACCACTTCTATGGTGACCTAAACAATGGAAGAATATTGTCATTACAAGTGTTTACTGAGGCAAACGTTGCTATTAACAATTTTGTTCATCCATATGTTTAAGGATTTGAACAATCCCAAACCATAAGAATTCAATGTGGAATTTATTGCAAATAATTTGTAAAATGAGGGATGCCTAAATAAATGTATTATTTATAAAAAAATATAAGTAATTCTGAATGCAATTAATGAATAAATAAAAAGGTTTTTAATATTTTTAATTCAGCAAAGATGCATGAAATAACGTGAAAGTTATTGCAAATAATCTGAAAAATGAGTGATGCCTAAATACATTTATTATTTAATATTTAAATTATTCTGAATGCAATTAATGAATAACATTTTTTTTTTAAATCACATTTAATGTTGACAATTCTATAAGTATTATTTTTATTGTCCTGGTTTTAATTTTATTTTCATTTTTTATTAATTTTTAGTCAAATAAATCATTTTTTTAACTTTCTATACTTAAAAATATTTAATAAATTGTTCACTGTTTCCAAAAACAAGTATACAAATATTTTCATCATTAATAATAATAATAATAATAATGATGGTGATGAAGATGATGATGATGATAATATTAAATGTCTTATTCCCAGAAATAAATTATTTAAATATTAAGATTGTAATGTAATGTGTATTGATATATCACATTTATAGTGTATGGTCCTACATCCAAAACACTTCACAATCATGAGGGTGGTCATTCCATGCCACCACCAATGTGCAGCATCCAATTGGATGGCAGCCACAGGACAACGACGACAGTGCGCTCACCACACAACAGCTATAGGTGGAGTGGAGAGACAATGATGCAGCCAATTCGGTGGATGGGGATAATTGGGAGGCCATGATGGGTAAAGGCCGATGTAAGGAATTTGGCCCGGACAGCGGGGTTACACCCCTACTCTTTACGAAAAATGACATGGAATTTTTAATGACCACAGAGAGTCAGGACCTTGGTTTTAACGTCTCATCCGATGGCGCTCACTGACAGTGTAGTGTGCCCTTCACTATACTGGGGCATTAGGACTCACACAGACAGCAGGTTGAGCGCCTCCTGCTGGCCTCACTAACACCACTTCTAACAGCAACCTAGTTTTCCCATATGGTCTCCTATCTAGGTACTGACCAGGCTCAGCCTCAGTGAGTAACAGGTCTTGGACTGCAGAGTGATTAAGGTATATTTAAGATTAAGAGATATTTGAAAAGTCAAGGGATATTAAAATAAATATGCATAATTTGAACTTGTTAATTGTTTTTGGCCGGTATTATATTATGGAATTAATCCTTTTTATTTATTAATTTTTTCATTGTATACACTATATCAAATATTTATTTGAATCAGCACTATGGCAGTACCGGATACAGAAACCATCATACCTCATAGCAATTTCCTTTTGCAAGAAACATTTCCAAACAGTAATTTCATGCTGTGCTATAAAACTAAATCAAACACTGCAGTTCGTATCGGGCCCTTTTATTGCGAATCTAATTTGTTTACTCGCACATGTTGAGAATAATCACACAGATCAAGAGTGTTTGTTGTAGCGAGAGAGGCTTTTTCTGTTTGTGGCACATCAAACAGTGAGGGCTAGTGTGATCTTGTGGAGGTCCAGATGGATGTTGGCTCAGGTCATGGTCATGCACCACGAGGCTGCCAATCTGCAACGACGCCCCCCACTCCCCAATCCCACCCCAAAAACCCCAGCAGTAACACATGTGCCTCCCAGATTGGGGCAGGGCCTCTTTCTCTCGCTCTCTCTCCACCTAAACATCAAGTTCAAAGGGCCTCTCAGCCTCCTTAAGACCATGAAAGCCAGATGATGCTTTGGATCAAAGATACCCTTGCCCACACACACACACCCCCCCTGATCCCCACACACACACGCACTCACTGGCATCTTAAGACATCGATACACTTCATCCATTATGCCATTCTTGGTCAAAATTCACATGTTTTTCTTTCTGATGTAGATTGAGCTTGAGGTGGATTAGTTAGCGGTCATTGCTGCGCAGGTGTATGTGGTTATGGAGAGTTGAAAAAGGTGAATGTGTGAGAAAGTGTGTGTGTGTGTGTGTGTGTGTGTGTGTGAGAGAGAGAGAAGAGAGAGAGAGAGAGAGAGAAAAACAAAGAACCAGAAGGTTTTCTTTATTGAAAAGAAGTGCTGATGTGCATCAGAGCTTTCTGCCACTTTCTGTTTGCCAAGATTTTAGTTTCTGCGCTTGGTCAGGCACATCTCCTTTAAAAGTTTTTGCATTTGTGCATGGCGAAATTCATTTGCTGACATTACCTCTGTCAGTATCTACAATGCATCCCGATAGTATTCATAGCGCTTCACTTTTTCCACATTTTAAAGGTTACAGCCTTATCCCAAAATTGATTAAATTCATGTATTTCCTCAACATTCTACACACAATAGCCCATAATGACAATGTGAAAAAAGAGTTTTTGAAATTGTTGGAAATTTATAAAAAAATAAAAATAAAAAAACGTAAAAAATAACTTTCAGCAGTATTCACAGCCTTTTCTCAATACTTTGTGGATGCACCTTTGGCAGCAATTACAGTTTCGTCTTTTTGAATGTGATGCCACAAGCTTGGCACACCAGTCTTTGGAAATTTTTGCCCATTCCTCTTTGCAGTACCTCTCAAGCTCTATCAGGTTGGATGGGAAGCGGCAGTGTACAGCCATTTTCAGATTTCTCCACAGATGTTCAATAGGATTTAGGTCTGGGCTCTGGCAAGGACATTCACAGAGTTGTTGTGAAGCCACTCCATTGATATTTTGCCGGTGTGCTTTGGGTAATTTTCCTGCTAGAAGATGAACCGTCACCCCAGTCTGAGGTCAAGAGCACTCTGAAGCAGGTTTTTAGTCAGGATGTCTCTGTAAATTGCTGCGTTCATCTTTCCCTCTATCCTGACTCGTCTTCCAGTTCCTGCTGCTGAAAAACATCCCCACAGCATAATGCTACCAACACCATGCTCAACTGTAGGGATGGTATTTGCCTGGTGATGAGCGCTGCCTGGTTATGTCCAAATGTAACGCCTGGCATTCACTCCAAATAGTTTAATTTTACAGAATTTTACTTTAATTTAACAGAGAGAAGATTTTTATTTCAACAGGTTTATAAACATTAAAGTTTTATTAATTTATTTTTAATGACTTCATTATTTTATTTTTGTCATGATGACTGTACACAATATTTTACTAGATAGTTTTTAAGACACTAGTATTTAGTTTAAAGTGCAATTTAAAAGCTTAACTAGGGGAACTAGGCAAAGTCATTGTAAAGCACTGGTTAGAATTATTAAATTTTTTTAAACAAATTTAAAAAAACTTTTATTTTTATGGCTTTTATTCTAGCCAAGATAAAACAAATATTATCAGAAATACTGCGACTTCTCTTGCTCCATTTAATATCACTTAAGAAATATTTGAAAAAGAATAAAGATTTTACAGGAGAGCTAATCATTTTGTTTTCAACTGTAATGTCATTCTGATATATAATATAATTACAAATATTGTAAGTGACTGTGAGCATCTACCTGTATATTGGGGTTCTGCCCATTTATATCTGCTTTGGAGAGATCAGGAAAGTTCTGCAGGTCCAGCAGGAAAGCTCCAGGGCCGTCTCGCTGCAGGCTGCCCCTTGTCCCGGGACTCTGAGCCCAAGGCTGAGATGCTGGAATATGAGCCACCCGAGTCTGTCTGTCACCTGGCCCCAGCTGAACTGAGGAGCTGCTATCTGCATTCACATTATTCTGCATAACAGAAACAGTAGAAAGCCATTAGATTAGCATGTCTCTGCTTATGGAGCCACGTTTTAGCATTCGGTCACTTTGCTTACTCAATGGTTATTTACATTTTATCACTTTTTTTTATTTTTGCAAAGTTCACAGCAGTCCACTAAAAGGACAAACTTTTGGCTCAGTTCATTGTGAGCCTCCAGTTGGTCCACAGACAATCATGGATTTGAATTATTCTTAGAAAAGATGAATGTTCAAGAAAACAGATCCGAGTGAATCATCCCTCTGTGTACACTTCTTGACTCTCTGTTGTCACAAATTCAGAAATTCATCTCGGTTATTAGCTTGATTCCGTAAATACAGACGAGAACAATTAACATGCTCAAAATCTTCAGATTCATTATTTGTTGGCTAGAAAAAGTCTCACAATTTTATGTTATAATGATGATATTATTATATAGATTATCATAATAGTACGCCATTTAGAAGTAAAATCTTGAAACTATGTTGTACATTTACTGTTTACTAACCACTGGTTTTGAGTAAAACGCACACTGTGTAAAGCGCAATTTTTATTTTGATACCATGATGCCATATCAGATCTGTGTAAACTATGAAACAGTGACTTGGGAAAACAACAACTTACAATGTACATTTATTATCCCTTCGATAGCAATGCTGGTCTACAGACTGTGAAGATGAAGTGTGTATATAAAATAAATAAAAATAAAAAACTGATTTATCATTTATATTTATTTATTAATTTAATTATTATTAATATTATTATTAATATTATTAATACTATTAACAAAGTGACTTTGTCAACTACTGACCTGGACTAACAATACAGCAATTTTAAGCGTTTTAATGGATACATGTGGATGGAGGTCATTCTGACAACACAGTGCGTACACTCAAATGACATTTGCTGTTTGTCCAAACTAATTTCAAATGAGCTGAAACAACACATATTTTGAGTTTTTTTTTTGGGGGGGATGCCTTAGTTCCTTCGTGTTGTCCCAGCACAAACATTTTGTGTGGAACCCAGCATTGTTTACACTGTACAAACAAACCTTTTTAAAAACCAAACATGAATAGAACAATTGTCACTACCAGATGTATTTTGACCTGTTGGACCCTTTTTTTCAAATTGGTTAGTGCTTGTACACCACTTCAGAAGACAAACGAACTAGCTACACAGTCCTGAGCTTATCAAATAGATTGATCAACAAAAAATCAAGATGGTAACAAACACCAACAACTCTATCTCCATTCCGATACTTTGAAGAATGTTGGAAACCAGCAACCATTGACATTCATAGCAGGAAAAAACAACAGAACTGAACAATGAAAATGCTTTGGAAATAGTCGTAGATAAGTAAATGAAGGCTGATTTATTTATTTATTGTAACTTATCACATTTAACGTATTCAATTGCATCGTGTTCAGATTGTTCATCGTGTTCTTATTTTGTCACACTCTATTTAACATATAAGCAAAAGAAAGCAACCTAAATTAAATGTTATTGGTGCAAACATGGTAACCGTGGACCTCATAATCCTATATAAAAAAGGCTACCTGAATATAAGCTTACTTTTTCTTTACATTTGAAAGGTGCGATTTGCAACCTAGACGTCTTTTACGCCTCTATAACCAGCCATATGTTCACGAAAGAGACCTTGAAGATGGAGATCAAGGGAAACAATACTGGTTTCATCTGGCTGAGCCCAGCACTGTTTGTTTACACTGAGAGAGATTAGAGACATTAGCAGCTCCGCTCACTCAATCTCACCTCAAATGGCCTAATTACCCACAGGTGCTGCATTGCGCCTTATCGCCCCATAATATAAACACACACACACTAGAGACTTTCTGTGAGTCCTAAAACAATAGCCCACCATTTACAGATTATAGAGGGATAATTAGGTGCAGAGTGCTTAAAACCCAGTTGCTTAAATAAATGAAGCATGTATGCATAATCATGAAATATTTTTTATATGATACTTGGTGGAAAATCGTTCAGATTGTTTAAAATAGCAATATGCAGGCTTAAAAGAATGAACTATACATACTCTGATTACTGAAGAAAATTTAAAAACATGTACTCATTCATTTTCCTTCGGCTTAGTATCTATTTCAGAGGTCACCACAGCGCACAGAGCACAGAATGAACTGCCATCTATTGCAGCATATGTTTTGTTTTACACAGTGGATGCCCTTCCAGCTGCAACCCAGTATTGGAAAACACCATACACACTCATTCACACACACATACACTCATACACTACGAACAATTTAATTTATTCAGTTCACCTATATTGCATGTGTTTGGACTGTGTGGGAAACAGGAGTGTAACCCTGCCGGTCAAACACCACCCAACCTGCTCCTAGCTGAGATCGAACCGGCAACCTTTCACATGGGAGTCGGTTGCTCTAACAAGGAGGCTAAAGACCATGGTCTCTAGCGTCTGTCCCTAGAGCAACTTTAGAGGTCAGAGGAGTGAGGTTTACTTGCACTAGCACTTCACTAGCTGGCCTCTGTCACAGGAGTACCCGAAGGAAACCACACTAACACGGAGAGAACATGCAAACTCCGGACAGAAATGCCAACAGGCCAAGCTGGGACTCGAACCAGCCACCTTCTTGCTGTGAGGCGACAGTGCTAACTATTGAGCCAAAACATGTACTTTTACCTGTATATTTTTAGTTATGTATTGGTACTGGTCCTATGCTATTTTCCTTCAACCTGCTGTCACTACTTTGTTTTTTTTTTCTTGTCTCTATTATGATTGGCCAAGTAGAATAATCAGCAATTTTTGTCCAATCAAACTGCACATAGAAAAATCATATCAGACAGACTGACATCAAGACATAGATGTTTTGTAAATGCAGCAAACATTTACAGTGTGGTAGCATTAAATGTGTCCAAGACAGCACAAAATCATTACAAGCAACAAACGAGAGTCTGTTTAGACTGCATTTCACTTATGAGAAGATTAAGAATGTCTAATATATTTATATAAAATGCCAAATGGCCTTAAAGGTGCAGTATGCAAGTTTGAAACCCAGTGGTTGAATTATGTATTACATTCCTGAATCAAAACAAAAGGAAGCGCAGGTTGCCAGATGACCAACAGGAGAAAGTTTTCCGGTATAGGCTGATTTAAACCGTGTTCTAAATAAAAGCAACGGCACGCAATAGAAGTAATATTTTTCATATTAAATTAAGTTTTTTTTTAAGCAACACCTGGAAAATTGATATCTTACAAACAGCTTCCATTTCTTGCAGCTAAACAACATGATAAAGTGACAGTGCTGTTTACCTCAGATACACCTCATGTGGTTTATTCAGTGTTAAATGCAAACAATGTAAGTTTAAATGCCATTTTACAAGACATGTATTGCCATATACAGAAAGCAGCAGCAGATAGTTCACGTCAGATCTTGAAAAGAAAAAAAAAAAGTTAAAATTAAACTTTAAAACTGTGAAATAATGCAAACCAACACTTAGCATGTACATTTAATAATGTTAAAGAGGTTTAATGTGTATTAATTCGATTATAAACCCTACCTTTTCGTGAGTGAGTGCATATTCTGTGCTTCTAAATGGCTGTATTTGAATTTCAGTCGTGTTTCATCTGGTGCAAACAGCCCAATTGCTTATCACTGCAAATCTCGTCATGTAGCATGTTGTTATGACACGTGGTTACAATGTAACCTGCACACCTAATGTTTACCCTCATAATATTTATTAATTTACAATTATTAATTAACAACCATCTCATGTAGAATTGTGAGTCCGCGTGTTATTTTGGGGCTGTTACTGTCCACAGGACGTCGCATTTTGGTCATGGACATCCACTTTTAAAGACTTCCTGACTGGCTGAATTGATCAAATTTGCAGTTTTTCACCAAGGCAACCCGGGTTGCTGAAATATAAATGGCTAAACTGGCATTGTGCTGGTTAAATGACAAAAAGAAAAGACAGCCGTTTTGGCACGGAAAACACATTTTCAAAGCAGAATATCTGACTTCAGTGTTGTTTTTCAGATTTAAAAGAATGTTCACTTAGCATGTTTATTAAATATCTGCAGACATATTATAGTATTTTTTCTGCTTTAAAAAAGTCAAAAACTTACAGCACCTTTAAGGCTGATTTATACTTCTGCATCAAGCGCATGCGTATGCCCTGGCACAGCCTGCACATGGTCACATAGCCCTCGCTGTGTTTGTGTTTACCTTTTGATTAAAGTTGTTGCATGTCCACCGGTTTCCGCCTCAAAATGAGCGAGTTTTAGCCACTTCTACATTAAGGTAGCGTTCAGATAAAAACAAAACACCAGCGAAGAGACTCGACACAGAGGAACATAAACACCTCACTGCCAGCTAGCTTTTCTGAAGTGTTATTGTAGAGCAACATAAAAAGCATGCAGAAGTATAAATGCATGACTACATGCAAGGCATGTGCCGTGGATCGAAGTATAGAAGTGTATACCAGGTTTCAAGCGCACACATGGTTCGCATGCTGTTGGGAGTAACGCATTACAAGTAATGTGCGTTATGTAATAATATTACTTTTCTAAGTAACGAGTAAAGTAACCAATTTCTTTTAAAAACTATAATAATATTTGAGTTACTTTTTTGAAAATGTTTAATTAAATTAAATTATAATTAGTAACAATGAATCATGCAGTCAATGAGAGAATTCGTTCATTATTTTGAATGCATCAAAGTAAAGAAAAAAGGGGATTATAGTCTCAATGGACAGTGATTTTACTTAAGACAAATAGTAGAAAAGTAGCGAACACATTGCTTTAAACGTTTATTAATCTGTATATATGGCATGTATAGCTCTGGGCTCAGGAAGTTCTCAGATAACATTATCCTAAAATATATGTATTTTTGATGTGTTTTTTTAAAGGTAAATGCAAGTGAAGGTTATGTTGTTAATTGCAAAGCTTCTCTTTAAAAAAAAAAGAAAGAAAAAGTTCTGAAAGAGATCAAGCCTCAGCCGG